GTATTGAAGCGATGTCTAGTTCTGTTTGCTGCTAGGGGTCAGCTGTTCTTTCCGAGGTCGTAAGGTTTCCAGGCAAATTCTGTCTTGGTGTGTTCAAAGGGGCCACGATACTGCTCATGGCCCCCTGTTCTAGCAGTCACCATCTTCGTAACATTTCTCAATCGATGCTATGTAAATTACCAGTTGACACAGTTTAGTTGAATATTCACATTTTGAAGTGCAAGGCTAACAAACAGAGCTTTATCCTGTAGAAGCAAAGAAAGTGATTAAGCCAACTGGAAGCCATTATATATCGTACAGGTTTCACGCGGACAGCCGTGGTACCAAGAGATTTAGAATTTACTGCGTTGCATAGATCGTTTATTGACTTTGCTGTGCTCACAAAGTGGGAAAGCAATTTTCTGAAACTAAGTGTTTACAGTATCTGTACTGTCTCTTTACACCTGCAATCTAAAGAGAACCACATGGTAAGGCGTAACAGTGTAATGCGTCGCGTGTCTTGTCTCCTGGCCAAATTTTATTTACTGTAAAACAGTAAAATCTGATTGGTTTACGATCTAGGGTTCTCCATCATTCTTTTCGGATGCTATTAACATTTCATGCTTCGATGAAATCGCGTCATAGTACCTACGTATTTTGCCTGCAAGGCAAATCTCCATATTTTCGCAGTCCTTGATATTATATAAAAGAAACTATCGCAATGTCTGTGTGATGTTCTCTTGCTTTGCTGTGTAGATTTATAATTATAATTCCACGTCTCTTTCCATTCTACACACCTGGTATTTACGTGTATTCTTGTATGTAATAAATTCTCCAACTCTGTAATCAGCCTTAAGTTTCTCCCGCTTGTCAGTATAGATTTAAGTTTTAAGGAGCGAACAAGGAGCTATAGTGTTATAGGATTTGAGACTTTCGCGGCGAGTACAATCAATAAAATCTTCTCGGGCAATCAGCCGCGTCAACTGGTTATCGTAGTAAACCGACATTTCGGGAACCAACTCTGTCCCCATCATCAGGGTTCTGATGTGACTGGATACACAGTCGACTTCCGAGGTATCCAGTCACATCAGAAACCTGATAAAGGGGACAGAGTTGGTTCCCGAAACGTCGGGTTACTACGGGAACCAG